AACAACAACAACAAAGGTAATTAAAGGTAAAAGAAGGTACTAACAATTAACCTCAGGCAACAGGAGACAGCCAGTACCATCAGTCCCCGAGAGTGGATGTTCAGTTCTATTAATAACTGCTGGAGGGTGGCTATGAGTCAGAGTTAACTCAGTGACACAGGTTTTGCATTTCGTTATTGTATGATGTTGATTTTGAAAAACCATGGAGTTAACTTGGTGACACAGGTTTTGCATTTAGTCATTGTATGATGTTGATTTTGAAAAACCATGGAGTTAACTTGGTGACACAGGTTTTGCATTTAGTCATTGTATGATGTTGATTTTGAAAAACCATGTGCAACAATGTTGTTGTTGTTGTTGTTAAGTGCTGTCTAGTCATAGGGGACTCCTAGCAACCCTATGAACAAAAGACCTGGACACTTGTATAACTTTCGTCCTTTCTCCAGGTTCATAGGGTTTCTGGAGGAAAGCTATTTACGGAAGTGGATGCCACTCTTGCTTCCAAACTTCTTTTAATTGGGGAGCTCCACCAAACACTGTCTAGCATGGGTAACCATTCTTGCATTTGACATATCAGTGCCACAGTGTTCAGCTTCACAGCAACCTCTAGTTGCAACATTAATATAAAAAAAGTTACAAATCAGGAATAAGTTTCTATATATACATAGAAAAACAACTAGAATGATACTAAAATGAAACATACTAAAATACTAATAATGACTGACAAGTATGAATTTTTTATTTTGCTTGTCTCTATTTTTGAAAGTTTTTATATCAGAACATGTATTACTTGGGAAACAAAATAGTTTCCGTTTTCATGAAATGATTTATAATTAATTCATTTTCATGAAGATTAGAGTTCAGCATCTGTAAGTCCAGAGAAGCATCTGAGCTGAGCAGGGCTCAGGCTTAGGGTCCCTTAGATATTCCTACCCGAGTTCTCTCTCTTCCCTTCTCTACTGCAAAGACCCACCACTGCCCCCTACAGGGGAACTGGAAGCACAGACCAAGAACCAAGCAGAAGTGGTCCCTGAAAGAGGACTGTAAGGGTGGAAGAGGTTGTTACAGGGTGAGGTACATTGTTTCTAAGGAAGCATCCAGAAAACAGCACAATGAGGCTGCCCACAGGAATATTTAATAAATACCTGCCCTGGTGATGGACTACGAGTTAGGCTGCTAACTGAAAGGCCCTGGGTTGGAACTCACCAACCACTCTTCAGGTCTCTTTCTGTAAAAACTTACAGCCTCAGAAACCCGATTGGGGGATCCTCAGGAGTCAGAACTGACTCAGTGGGTGGGGTGGAATTAATGAATAAATTCTGTCACTTTGTGGATAGGTTCCTGGGTTCACCCAAAAAGCAGATGAAATCCCATACATCTGAATGGAACCCAACAGCTTCTGACAGCTGACACATATGCATACATACAACATGCAATCTTCACAGAAAGCTAATGTGAAAAGCCTTCCAAGGGGTTTGGGAAGTATTTTTTTTTTAAATTGCATTTGCAGGTATTATATGTGTCAAAATATGATATTTCAAAGCACAGGATGAATAGCCTGTTTGGAAGCAAGATAAATTACTATACTAGGCCCTGGGGGATATTAAACAGTACAATAGAGACTTTGGATCAGGCAAGTCTGAGTTCAGATCACACCTCTACTACTTATAAACTATACTTTTGGGTAAATTACAAGTCACATTTCCCTTGAGTAAAAAAAAAGGGGGGAATCTCGAAGAAGAGGACATAACAATGTATGAAATGGTCTTGACTCAATGCTCAGCACCTAGTATGTATCTCAATAATTTGGTAATTTTAGGTTGTAGTTAAGGATTCTTTGAGCTCACATTAAAGATTAAAGGCCAGAGAGTGCAGAAAGCCAGGCACAAGTCAGTGGGGACAGTGTAAGAGTCCCTAGCAGTGACCAGCTGGCCAGAGAAACCCCCAGAGAAATGGGATTGGGGTTGTTCAGTTCCCATGAGAAGCCGTTTCCAGGCTTCAAGCTCAGCAGACAAAGGAACACAGCAGCAAAGCAGCCAGGAGGCCCCAGGGAAGCCCTGTTCTGCTCGTCATTCAACAGCAAATCTATATGGAGTACTGACCACGTGACTGCACTGTGTGCCATCAGTGAGCAAAACAAAGTTCCCTACCCTCAAAGAACTAACTTCCCAGGCATCTCCCAGGCCAGGCCACTCCTTTTTGGCTTTGCCTCCATTTTATAAATAATAACACTCAGACCATAAGCATTTAACAAAACTCTGGGTCAATTTTTCCTGGGCCACTGAACTGCTATGTGATGTTTTAGAAGTCATTCACCTTCTCTGGGCTTCAGCATTTCCCCTGAAATCTAAGGAGCTTGTCTTGGTATATGAAGTCCCTTCTAGCTCTGAAGGTCAAGGCTCTAGACCGGCTCTTCACAGGAAGTGTCCATAGGATCAACTTAAATGCTCCCCAGTCTCATTCTGAAAAGCACTAACAATGACTGAAGTCTTCCTTCCAGGGACAGAGAGGCCTAAGGAGTGCACCCCACCCCCGACAGCCAGGACCTGATACAGACACACGCTCATTGGGCTGTTTTTGGTGGAAGCCCAGCAGAAATTTCAGGGGTTAGCGTGGGAGTCTCACCTGGGCATCTTCTCGGGCCCGATCCCGGTCTTCTCCACCCTCCTCACGATTGCCCTGCAGCAGGACCAGCAAGAAAAGTCAGTGCCCAAACACATACGCTCTGTCACTCACAGCCCCAGAACCTGGCTCAGGTGCTTGTTCTCTAAACCTTTTCTCTCATCTGGATCACAGACTTGTCTCACAGGGAAGCCAATTTGGGGAATAGATGAGGAAGTCTGCAAAGGATGCAGCTAATGCCTAACACACAGTGACTCTCCACACTGTAAGCTGGGACTTGACATCTGGGCTGTGGGATTTCAAGAGACAATGAAGGAAGCTTTCAGGTAATAACACAGGAAAAGGTCACCCACATGGCTTTGGATTATGAGTGAGGCCTCACAGATGAGGCCTTGGTTTTTGAGTCAAGCTGAGGATTATCAAGGAGGACTGCCTGGAGAAGGTAGCACCAATGCCAGTTCTGAAAAGTGAACAATAAGGAAAGGGAACTGCATGAGGCAGTGATGGCATCAGTGACGGATCCTCAGGCAACAACTGCAGAGGTCACCTCTTCTTCAAGGCTGGGTTCCTAATGCCCCTGTCCCTTCCACTCAGTAATCATCCCTCCTTCCCAGAGTTCCAGACGGGCAAGCAGAGCTCACTCACCGTGGCCAGAGAAATGAGGATCCTCCTGAAGTGGCTGGATGTGTCCGAGCTCAGATCATCTTCGAGAGACCTGTGATAGTCTGAGGCAGAGAGAGAGAGGGTATGGGCAGCTGCTAGAGTGGGAAAGGGTGGTCCTAGACATTCACAGTAGTGTTGCTAGGGATGGGGTCAGTGAGAAACTATGTAGCGGGGTCTTAAAGGTATCCAGTCACCCCGTTGCTGACTCTAAGAATGCCATGTCCATCAGTCCATAGCCATGGCCATCACCGCTGCTCCTATCTCAGCTGGGGTCTGGACCCATCTTGCCTCTAACACTTAGCAACTCTGTCTTCATTCTACCTTCCTTATGCCATGACAGATGCTGGACCCTTAGCACAGCTCTGACCATGTCTGCGCCCTGCTCAAAAATGCAATTATTTTTAAGCTGCTTGTAAGGAATAAAGTGTAAACACATTTGACCAGTACTTATGACTTTTTAGGGAGTTCTGTTGGCTTAGTGGTAAGGAGTTGTGCTGCCAATACAAAGGTTTGCAATTGGAATCCACCAGCTGCTCCATGGGAGGGGGCTGGGCAATCTCCTCCTGTGTGATTTATTGCCTCTGAAAACTCGCTGGAGGGTCAGCTATGAACCTCTTCCGACTCCATGTTACATAACAGGCTTTTCAGAATGAAAAAGGTAAGGTCACTTGTTAAAAAAATTATTAAGAATTTCCAGATGGAGCAAGCAGTACTAAACCAAGCCAAGGTTGAACACGAGGGCATGCTGCCCTGCCCACTACAGCCGGCTGGGATGCTCTCATCACACTCCTAGTCAAGTTCTTCTCCTCCAGGCCGTTCCCTGGACACAGGTGGGCACACCCAAGGGGTGAGGACTGAGAGCAGGAAGATGCAGCAGAGCTGTGGACAGAGCTGAGGGCTGAGGTGAGGCCTGAGGTCGGGAACTGGGCACCGGACTCCTCTTCCACCCATTCCCCAAACTCACCCTCCTTGTAGGCTTCATTGATGGCCCGGATTTCTGCGTTGGTCCGAGTGGTCAGGATTTCTATGAGAGCCTTTTCATCTGTGCCAGCACCCTGGAATGTCAAGGTAAAGGGGGACTCGTCACAGTCCTGACTCCTGCAGAGGTTCGAGGGGCCCAGGAAAGAGACTGTGTTCTAGCCGGGCCGAGGCGCTCTCTTCAGCAGATGCTGGCACCATCACATTTCCAGAATGATCTGCTTTAAGTTCCTATATACATGTTGTTGTTATGTATCGTCGAGTTGAAAAGGACTCATAATTGACCCCCGTCAAGCAGCTTTTTTTATAGAGGCTACAAATTACACAGAATGCCCATCTTTTTTCCTGCTGGGTAGCTGGTGGATTTGAACCATATGCCTTTGAGTTGGTAGCACAACTTCTCAGAACTAGGCCACAGGAAAAGCTCTGAACACAGGAAGCCCAGGTCTTCCTGGTTGGCAAAATACATCCATACGTGTGGGAGGGCACACGGCTCTTAGAAAATGGAAACTCAAGTTGGGAATTTTCCTCACCCCACGCCTGCCCTCATCCTAGGTAACTCTTGTTCGTATCCTCTTTTGGATTAATAAAGACATAATAATCATAAGTATAGAGCTTTCTGTGAATTCTGTGCATCATTCCAGCAAATAATTCAACCCAAAGAGCAGTGGGAGCCAGGAGATTGGAAGTTAGGGGGCCTGGGCTTGTGGCTGGCATCCTGGGGGAATGGAGGGAAATTCCCAAACCTGCAGTGAGGTCAGAAGTGAAAGTGCTGCGCGGATTCCCAAACTGCCTGTGCAGTATCCTTTCATAGTGTGAGATCTGACCTAGCTCATGGTGGTCAAGGTCAGAGAGAGAGAGAGCGTGTGGACCACACTGTAGCTGGTGTTAGAACTCCCGAGCTGTAAAAAGTGAGGGATTCCATTTATGTTGATTATTATTCTTGTGTATATCTATATCTGAATATATTTATATTTATATAGAAGTATAGAGAAAGACGGATGTGTCAAATGCGTTAATGGTTGGCTACCCAATGTGGACTGAGAGTGGGGTGGAGCTCCCTGATTAAACAAGCGTGGAAGGAGGAGTGGCATCCAGTTCCATAATAACTTGCCTCCGGAAACCCTATGAACCTGGAGAGAGGATGAAAGGCAGCCAAGCTTCGAGGACTCTCCTTCATAGGGTTGCTATGAGTCGCCTGCGACTCGATGGCACTTAACAACAACAACAACATAAAGAGCGGAAGCAGGAGTGGCATCCGCTTCCTAAACAACATGTCTCTGGAAACTCTATGAACTTTGATAAACAATGATAGTTATAGAACAGCTTCAGGTCTTCTGTTTATAGAGTCGCTATGAGTCATGCTCGATCGACAGCAATCAACAACAACACAGAGAAAGAACAGGACGACGTGTGTCACAGGGCTAACAGTGATTGTGGTCTCTGGATGGGTGAGGGATCACAGATGCCTTCTATTTTCTTTCTCTTCGGTCTATAAATTTTTTATTTCACAGTTTGCATATGTTGTTACTATGTCAGAGGGTGAAAGTGATGTGTTTAAAGAGGAAAACATGCTAGACTGTTTGTTTGGATTTGACAAATGATAGATGGACTGATAAAGAACCCTGGTCATATGATGATTAAGTTCTCGGCCGCTAACCAAAAGTTTGGCTGTTTGAACCCACCCAGCAGCTCCATGGGAGAAAGACTTGGTGGTTTGCTCCCATAAAGATCACAACTTAGGAAACCCTAAGGGGCAGCTTTGCTATGTTACAGAGTTGCAATGAATAGAAACAGATTTGAGGACACTTAACAGCAACAACTTCTTTGTGTTATGTGTAAGATAGCTGGACAATGACTAGATATGATAGAAAAAGAATTGAAGCCTTTGAGCTGTGGTGCTGGAGAAGAGTGTTGAATATACCATGGACTGCTAGGAGAACAAACAGGCCCGTCCTGCAGAGGGTGAAACTGGGCTGTTTCTTGGAGGCAAGGCTTCTGAAGCTTCATCTGACATACTTTGGGCATGCTGCAAAGAGGGACCAGTCCTTGGAGAGGGACATCATGTTTGAGAGGGTGTTGGGACAGTGCAAGAGAGGAAGACCCTCGATGAGATGGATCAATTCAGTGATTAGGGTAATGGGAAGTAGGTACATCAGAGACAGTGAGGTTGGCACAGGACAGAGCAGGATTTAGGGCTCTTGTACATAGGGTCACTATGAGTTATAAGTGACTCGATGGCATATAACACCACCACCACCACCAACAGCAAAAATCACATGGACTGAAAGACTGGGCCCTCTACACTGAGGCAGGCTGGGAAGTCTCTTGTTCTTAAAGTTCCACATGCAAAAGGAGGATCATCCATTTCTTCAAATATTATTTGCAAATCACTGCTCAAGGCACTGGGACCACAATTATGAGGTAAAGTAAAGCCATATTCTCTGCCCTCTTAGTTTATTGCCTAGTGGGCAAATGTTCCCTGAACTCTCTGCCCTGAGGCTTCACTGAGACTTTTACTGCCATTGCCATTAAGAACTGACTCACAGATAACCCTCCACCAGGTTTTCGGCTGTAAGTCACCCAGGAGAAGCCCACCTTTCCTTTACAGGACAGCTGGTAGATTCGAGCCTTCAGAGGTGCCATCTTTGGATTAACAGAGTAACGCCCTGAGGACTAGGTCACCAGAGCTCCTGAAACATTTACTAATCTCCATTAAAGTAGGCATGTGGTGAGCCACCAGCAGTGGTAGTCAGATGCCTTCCAGTTCTTCTGTCTCACAGTAATGGAGCATCCAGAAAGTCAGGGGATAGCCCCACCCTTCCCCTAATTCACTGACCCCCCCAAGTTCCTCAATCTCCTATTTGTAAACTGGGACAAAGGAAAGGGTCGGGTAAAGTTAATTCACTGGTGCCTAGAACATCCAAATTCCAGGTCTTCAGATTATTTGCTTTCTTGTTTAGGAATTTTAAAAGAGTAACAATGTCAATTTGGTTTTTTTTCTCTAGAATTTAAAAAATTGTGCTTTGAGGTAAACTTTAGAGGAAATTGGTTTTCCATGTAATTGTTTATAGAGATTTTGTTTTATGGAATTTATTACAGTCCCTACATTGTAAGAGGGGAGCTCCAGTGACCTAATGAGTAAGGAGTTACAGGCCAACCTAAAGGCAGGCAGTTTGAATCCTCCAGCTGCCCCACAGAAGATGGGCAATCTCCTCCCATATGGTTTATGGCCTCTGAAAACCTGCTGGAGGGTCAGCTATGGGTCAGTTCTGATTTGGCAGCACACAACCTAGCACATAGAGCAGCACTCTTTCACCTCCTCTCTGGGATTCTTGCTTTTATTCATCTTAACTATTCTATCTTTCCTGCCTTGTGAACTTTCTCCTTGGGAAAATACTGTCCTTTTGATCTTGTATGATTGTTCTAAGGACCTTTCTGGTATTGTTCATCTTATCAGTGTATCTACTATTTGTCTGAAATCTGAGCCACAACAGGTGTGTCTGGTTCTAGGCTCAAGGAATTCCTAAGGGCCACAGTCTCAGGGTTTCACCACTCTCTAACAGTCAAACAAGTCTGGTCGTTATAGGATTTCGAGTTTTGTTCTAGAGTTTTCTCTGGTAGCCAGCAGCACCATCCAATTCTTGTTTCCTGGCAGTGGAAGTGGAAGTTCGTGGGGTCCATTCATCCTTTGGACCAACTGCTTCTATGTGTCTTTGATTTTCTTCGCTTTTCAATGCTCCACACAGAGAGAGACCACTAACTGCACTATCACGTGACTACTCGCATAGGAGATACATCCTGATGACCTCCAGTTCCCTTTCAAGGAGCTGGTGTTACAGTGTGCTATTTACTGCACTGCTAAGTAAAAGTTGGCTGGTCTAATCCACCAGTCACTCAACAAGAGAAAGATGGTATCACTGTCTCTTGTAAAAAATATTATCCTGTCTCTTGTAAATCCTTGGAAACCTGATAAAGGGTCATGATTCAGAACAAATTCCATGACATTGGGTTTCATGGGGTTTTATTTCCCCTTTGTTATTTTCCATTTACTCTTCTGGGAGTCAGTGAGTGCTTGTCAGGACCATGGGATCCAGAGCCACGACCTCTGGCTCCAGAGTCGTGACCACGGGCTCCAGAGCCACAGCCACGGGCTCCAGAGACACGACCACGGGCTCCAGAGACACGACCATGGGCTCCAGAGTCAAGACAGACTTGTCTGAATCACAACTCTGCTACTTCATAGCTTTGTGCTTTTGGCCAAATCATTTAACTTCTAAGTCTGTTTCTTTATGTATAAACCTGAGGGGGGGAGGGGGAGAAATTTGCCTTGTGTGTTGATGAGTCAAATAGCTGAGAACATCTAGTACGGGTCTAGGGTACAGTGTATAAAATAAAAACAGGAGCCCCTTTTACAAACAGTGTCTCAGAAGGTGAAGTAGTCGCAGTGACAGCTGGGCCAGGACATAATGCTCTTTCTTGGCTAAGCCTGGGGTCAGGCCTCTAGAGTTAACTGGGCAACTGACTCTTCTTGACTTGCCTTTATCTGAAAGGCCGTGATGACTGCTCCCAATTCAAAGATGAAGACACAGGCTTAGAAAGTTTAGGGGCACGGGCCAGCTTCAGAGTGGGTGACAAAGCTGGAGCCGGAATACAGATCCTGACCCGTCATCGCTTTCCTCCCAGCTCCAGCCTGCTTCCTCCATTTGCTCTGCAAGATCCCCTGTGGTTACAAGGCAGGTGACTCAAGATAAATAAGCCACAGAAATGCTGGGACTTCTGGCTGGAAAGAAGGAATCCTTCACGCCAAGGCTGCTTATCTGGGGAGAATGCACAGAAGTTACTCTGTCATCTAAGGGGACCTGAGAGTGAACCCAGCACAAAGGAGGGGAGCAGGAGTCCAGACAGCATTACTGGAGTACCTGGATCGGACTCTGTGTAAAACCAGGTCTAAAATCCTCTCTTGAGTTTCACTAGTTTGAACTGAGTGTGCAACGTGTTTCACCATGAAGTTACAGCCTGGGCTGGTGGGGAACACCCACCTGCATCCTGAACTGACCACTCTCTACATTTGGGCATACCTCCATGGCCTTCTTCAATTGCTTGGCATCATAGTGGGGGGGTGTCATCATGAGCCCCAGAATCAGCCTTGCCAGGTCTCCAGAGATCTCGGACTTCAAGTCAGCCATTAGATCCTGCAAAGAGCAGAGATGAAGTCATGCCAACATCAGCACCTGCCCACATGTGACCCAGGGCAGGGAGGAGATGCAGACGAAGAAAGAGGTTTCATAACAGGATAGTGGATACAGGGGATGGTGGGGGCTGGAGTCTGCCTTTGCTGATGAATGAGTCATTATTTAGTTGAGGCCAGAGGGGCCGGGGAAAGCCAAGCCGGAGGAAGACCTACTCTCCCTGGAGGCAAGACACGGGCATTGGAGGATTCTGTTTCCATCCTTGGGAAAGTGCAGGGCAGATGTTTCTAAGACAGAGCAACAGCAATCATGCACACTCAGCTTTGGACCTTTGCCTCTTGCAGGAAAACGTCACGATCATGGCCCCAACCTGAGCCTCCCTCTCTACTGAGCTGACTTGCATGGAATTGCTGATTACAACGAGCTGGGGAGTGGGGAGAAGTGTTTGTATGCAGCCTTTACCCAGTCCTTGAGACACTCCATGGTGACCAAGTCACCATTGCCAAAATGACTCTGGCGCCCAAAAGGGCAGATCTGGCTGGGACTGGCCAGGCTCCGTCAGAGGAGCAGGGACGCGTTCCCAGGCTGAGGCTCTTACCCGGCCAAAGTGAGACTTGAACGTTTGCCGGATCTGCTGCCGCTGGCTGTTGCTGCGGTGCGTGATGATGTCGATGATGGTGTCCTCGTCAGTTCCTGAACCCCCAAAGTAATGCACCTCAGAGGAGGGCCCACAAGCCAGCTGGTTCCAGCCCCCTCTCCTCAGGTGAATCTGGTGGGGGTCAAGACCACCCACCCACAGAGAAGCTGTTGCTGAGCAGTTCCTATCATTGGTGACAAATAGAGACCTAGAGGTGATTAATGGGGTGCTGCTACCCAGAAGTGGGACTCCCAGTTTCAGGGTCTACAACTTCATGTTATGAACAAGGAAACTCAGACCTAGACAAGTCAAAGGACTTGCTCAAGGCCACAGAGTAGGTCAAGGGCAGAGTCAAGGGGAAGACCATCTTAAGCTCTAGCATCTTATTCCACACCATGATGTTGTTCCCGAGGGGTTGGGGGTACTGTAGTCTTTGGAATGGCCTATGTTAAGCTCTAACAAACCCCTCACTGCTCTCCTCCCGGAACTCAAAGGGCTGAGAGGCTCCCCAGGAGGCTGGAATCTCAGGAGAAAGTCCTCCTCACCTGGGAGGCCCTCTCACACCCATCTGCCCAGCCCTCTGCCAAGCCTGCCACCCTCCGGCCCCTTCACGCCCCTTACCGAGCCCCTTCATGGCCTTGCGAAGGGCTTTGGCATCTGCATCTGGATTGAACTCATCAGTGGGGCGGACAGTTCCCTTCAGCTGTGAGAAAGCAGACAGACTCAGCAGGTGTGTGGTGGCCCCCCCAGGGGCCAGGCCGAGAGAGAAGCATGCGAGTGGGTGCTTTCTCAGGGAGCTCCAAACCAAGCAGCTTTAAGGGACAGAAGCGAGGCAAGAGGCACAGCAGACAGACCCCTGTCCTAGAGCTGAGAGAGACAGATACACCAGGGCCTGGGAGCAGGAAGGGACAGTCAAGGGAAAGGTGGTCCAGCTCCTGCCCCAGGGGGCAGCCCAGACCCCCTGGGCTGCTTCTCTGCTGGAGCTGCCCCAGTCCCTGCGAATCCTGACCTGCCCCCAACACCCCGGCCTCTTAAGGAGCTACTCCTGCTGAAAAGGCGACAGTGTTGTTCTGAGATGCTAGAACTGAGTTTCCCAACTTTTAGACACTCCTGAATGACACCAGCAATTATTTCCTTCTTTGCATATACTCTGTAATGTTATTTCTTAATATTTTCATTTCATTCAACTTTCCCCTTTTACTTAACAGCATTTTCAAATGCACTCAAATGCTCTTACAGAATATGCACCCACAAAAGGAGATGCAATATAAACAAAACCAGGCTGTTAAATAGCACTAAATTCAGCCCGATGTATTTGCTTACCAGAAATGGAACTTGCAGACCTGGAAAAATTATGGCAACAAACTGAGACTGTCTGACACAGTCGGAAGGGTTGGTGAAACAAAAAAATTAAGAACTGACTTTTTAACTGTGACAAATGTCACTTAAGGCATTTCACATACACATCCCCTCAAATGAAATGTATTTCTCCCACAGTTTGCAACGATGGCTCCGACTGTCCAGTTTGGGAAACACTGTCATAGAACATCAGAACTCAAGAGCCCTCAGAAGTCACTGAGACCTCGTGTCTAGCACCCCGTTGGAAAGAGGAGTCACAAAGGCCCAGAGGTGGGGACCTGCAAAGACGTGACAGAGACTCCAAGGCCTCAAATACTTTGTCATGGGCCTAGTGCTATCAGTACCTCAAATAGTTTGCCTCAAGTACTTCTGTGAAATCTCTCACCCTCACTCTTTATGGACTCAGGGTCCGAGGATGCTCAGGAGACCCAAGAACCCACCCAGGGCTGCTGGGTGTTCTCAGCTTTCAGAACCAACTGTTAGACCCAGAATAGGATAATCAGCCCCTCCAGAACCAGGCAGGTCTCCACTTCAGCAAGCCCAGTTAGTAGGCAACAGGCCAGAACACTTCCCAGTGTGTTAGAGGTGAGTGCAGGAATCGGGTACCCTCCACGCAGTGCCCTTCCCCCTATTCATCACTCCCAGAGGACAAAGGAAGCTTCAGATGTGAGAATCAATGTCTCAGGTTGGCCACCAGGGGGCAGCTGGGTGCCAACTAGCAGCAAGGTGGGAGCAGAGGGGAAGCTTGTGGTCAAGAGGTCAAGCAGGAGGTGGGGAAGGTCTGACCTCTACTCGGGACACTGCACTAAGTTCCCACATCTGATAGGCCACCTGCGCTGCCTCCGGGAAGAACTGGCCAGCAGCACTGGAATGGAGGGGTTGGGGTGAGGACAGGCAGGCACATTTCGGTGGGCAAACACTTCCATTTACCAAGTTCCCAGCGTACAGACTCACACAAACACACACGCACACACACCCCCCAGATGCACTGTAATTCATGGTCATGTGATAGAAAGATAAAACAGTTACCCATACCAAGACTTGCATACCCTGAACAGACAAGGAACACAAATGAAAATTCTCCTAGTCATACATTCACGCATCCTGACACGCAAATAAATGGATGTGCCTTCCAGTATAACAACGGCAGCAGGTGCATATGCCTCTGCAAATGAAAGGTACAAAATGGGAAAACTGGGACTCAAGTAACAGTGTGACAGCTTGGTGAGAAGCTATTGGGGATGATGAAGAAGGCAGTTAGTTCACACACACACACACACACACACACACACCTCATTTGGGTAAATCTGACTTTACCTTCTTTTCGTACTTTGCCTCATCAATTCATCCTCCAAGAACCTTCTATCTTCCTAGCACCTTCCTGGTTCTAGGGCCTAAACAGGCCAGGATTTCTCCAGTTCTTTGACTTCTCCCCGGCCAGTTGGCAGGTCTATACCATCTCCAAGGTTCCTCCTCCAAACTACTGAGGTGCTCAAGAGATGCTGACTGCCTCAGCCCCCAGGGCATGGAACAAAGCCTAACAAGAGGCTGGAGATTCCTCACTTAGCTGGATTAAAGCCCCAGAGAAGGGACTTGGAGCACCCACAGTTCCCTTCCTAGACACACACTTGGTTAAACCATGCATCGGTGTGACCTTTCTAAAGGCGCCTCTCCCCACTCTCCATTGTTGTCTATACTCAGAGACGAGGCTCTCAGACCCAATCTACCTGCTCAGTCCATGAAAGCACAGATTCAGTCCTAAACCAGGCTGTTCCTTCTCAACTGTAGGCCTTTGTACAGGCCATGTCCTCCATCCAGAGCACTCTCTCCTAGATGCTCTCTACCTGGCTCCTAATCTTCCTCCTTGGGTCCCAAACTCATTTTACCCAAACAGCCTTCCCCTGTCTGGGTCAGAAGTCGATGTGTCTTTTCACAAACACTTGCACGTTTCCTCTATACAGTACTATCCTGCAGCGATCTTCATGTCCTTTTAAACTGTAGGCTTCTTGGTGTACTGAATACAAATATGTAGGATAAACACATAGGGAGAGCAGGTATTTTTCTTTTTTTTTCCCATTTGACTGGATGAAACTGAGAGACAACTATGAGGCAGGTGGGCCTGGACGCTCATACTCGATTCCTGGCCCATGACCCCAGACAGACTGTCTGCATTCCCAAGAGCCTGCATCTCCATGTATGGGAGAGCTCAATCATGTTCTGACACACAGACAGTCATTCAGGTACACAGACAGAGGGCCACCTTTCACCTATGCAATGCTTCCAGGTCAAATGGCACCCAAACTCATCCAATCTATTCACTGGGCTGAGGGCTAGGAGAGTTCCAGCATCTCACCCCATCTGTCTCCCCAGGTCAGGGGTGAAGAATCTACTTACTCATCATCACCCCCACATAGCTTCAGCAGAGCCTTCTTATACTCGCCGGAAGTGTCATTCTGGAGAAAAAGACAGGAGGAAAGGTTATCTCTCACCAGCCCTGGGCTCCACTCCCACAGGGAGAGGAGGTTCTAAGGAGTCTGGACCAGGGGAAGACTGACCCTCATTCAGAGAGGACTAGAACCACCAGACAGTGTGTGCTGACTCCTAGTGTTTGCCAGCTTCTCTAGTGTAAATACTTCCAACTATAGATAATTTGATGTTGTCAATGTGGCTACACTGAACACAGCTGAGAGAAGAGATGCTCACAGCCCTGCTCTCCTGGCCCAGCACACCAGTGCCAGCATCAGCATCACTACCATCATCATCACCAGCAGATGGTGCCCGCTCTGGCTCCCCAGTGAAACAGTGCAGGAAACTAGCGATTCACAAGCAAAAACAATGGTAAGTGCCAAAATCAAACAAACAAATGAGCAGTTGATAATGTGGTGCATTCTTATTCCACCTGAAGCATCATAAATCCCTCAAAATCTCTTGAGGATGAAGGATCTCCTTCAAAAATCTCCCTGAAGTGGAACCTTAGAGACCATGGCTCTTGCACAACCTTCTAACTTAGACTTGAACTCATCCCTCGGGATCATGTTTTAGCCAAATATATGACAGACCTATGAAATGAACAGTAATATCTATATAGAACGTAATCCTCAGAACCAGCAACCCTAAAAAAACCAAAAGGGAAGTGTATGACCCAAAACAACACTCAGAAGGCAGAAAGAGGCAGGGGGAAAGAGCAGCTGGAAACAAAGAGCCCTCGAAGGGAATGAGAAGGGTGCTGTTAAACTGAAGGGTCTACATCTAAAGTCTAGGAACAAATGTGCATGAACTGCTAAAAGGAAAATGAATTTGCTTCGTAAACACTCAAGTTGCAACAAATAAGAAAGATCTAAAGTAAACAATTTTTTTATCTAAGAAACCTTTCTTATAAAAGTTTCACACCCTTATAAAGTTTCATAAAAAGGGGAGATAAAAACAACTCTCCATCTGTGGCCTGGACCACCAGGCTCAAGCCATCATTAGCTGCTCTGCCCAGGACTGAGGCTCCCAAATGAATTCTCATGGGTGTTCCTCAATGTCCCCTCTCTTCTGGGAGCCTGAGTTCTCACTGTCCTCAGGGCAAGTCGTCATCCTTAATCCAGCTGGCACACCCTTCAGATCCAGCCCCTGCCTTCCTCATCACCTCACTGTTCACAATCACCCCCGATGCTTGCAACTTTGCTGGCCTCCTTAAGTTCTCTGGATGTACCGCAAGGCTGGGGTTGCTGACTTCCCAAGGGACTTTAGTTTTGTAGGACTTCTACTTGCAGCTAAGAGCAGTTGCCAAGGTGTCTGTCTTTGGGTAAAGCTCTAGCTTTCTCTTTACCCCCATCACTCCACTCACCTTGATCATGCTGTACAGGGACTTTTCATACTTGGTCCGGAATATCTCCCGGATGTCCAGCATGTCCAGCTCACTTCGGGTGACCATAATGCGGATCAGTGTGTTGTCCCGGGTCCCCAGGCCCTGCAAAAAAGGTGAGTTTGGGAAACAGAGACATGAGAGGTAGCTAGAGTGCTGGCATCTCTAACACGTGGCTGGAAATATTATCTTCTCAGTGAAAAATTACATTTGGAATAAAAAAAAATAGTGGTGGAATGATTTGGAAACAGTGATAGTATTGTGGAAATGTGCCAAATGTTTACTTGGCAAACGTTTTATTATATATGACTTTATTACCATTTGAGAAAGGAACAAAAGAAACAGAACCTTGCCCTTCCTTCAGAAGCTCCCTGTGTTTCCCTGTTTGCTTAACTCCCTTCTTCCTCTGAGTCACTCCCCTCCTTGGTTTTCTTTATCATTTTAGCCTAACAATGTATTCCTAAGCAGCATATTGCTTACTTCTACACACCTCAGAAACTTGAAACCATACCCATGTGCTTATTTTTCCATGTTACTCTTTTTTTTTAAATTGGTTTGCTTACAACGTTCATATAGACTGTTTCATGCTATTGTTCATTCATATTGTGTTTCAAACAATCATTCTATGCATTATGTTTTATAAAATTAATCACCATTGGACCTTGCCCGTCATTACCCTCTTTTCACTCAGATCCTTCCCATTTCTTTCCCCTTCTCTCCACCCACCAAATGGTGCAACCTTGTGGTTTCATCCTTACCCATCCCATACACGTTTTACTAGTTATCCTTCTATTTTTACAATAATGGTCTTATGCAGTATCTGTCCTTATAAGACTGATTTAGTTCACTCAGCATAATGCTCTCCAGTCTCTCTTAAGTTATGCAGTATTTTTTTTTAAATCATTGTTCCTGAGTGTTGCATGGTATTCCATTGTGTGAATGTACCACAATTTCTCAATCCATTCAGTTGTGGTTGGACATTTGGGCTGTTTCCAAGTTCTTGTGATAGTGAATAATTCTGCTATGAACACTGGTGGTGTACAAATCTCTGTTTATGTCTCAGTTCTAATTTCTTTGGGGTATTTTCTTAGTAGTGGAATAGCTGTCAAATGGAGTTTCTACGTTCAACTTTTTGAGGAAATTCCAAACTGTCTTCCAGAGTAGTTCTACCATTTTATAATCTCACCAACAGTGTATGAGAGTACTCACATTTCCATATTCTCTCCAAAATTATTACTTGCTGCCCTGCTAACTTTGCCATTGCTACTGGAGTGAGACGCTATATCATTGTTGGTTTATAATTATCATTTCTCTTATTGCCAGTAATTTTGAGCATTTCTTCATGTGTCTATTGGCCATCCAAATCTTTTCCTCTGTGAAAAGTCTTTCCAGGTCTTTTGCCCATTTTGTAACAGAGTTACCAGTCTTTTACTTGTGGAGGCCCAGAAGTATTCTATAAACTTTTATTATGAGACCCTTGTCTGAGATGGTATTACCAAATGTTTGTTCCCAGTCCGTAGGTTTTTTCCATGCTACTCTTGAGTCTAATAGCGACAATCTTGCTTTGCATTCTTGCCACACCTGCACACATGCTACCTTCCTCTAGGTGGCGCTGCCGGGCCTCACTGTGACATGCTGACTGAGAGTAATGTACTGCGAGTGTGGATGGATGGTAGTCCACTTAGCCCCAATGAGAGGACCAAACAGAGCCCCGGAGGCCTGGGTTCCTGGAGCCCTAGGCTCATGCTGCAAATGCCTGGACTAATTTTCCCAGCATGCCACTGAGATACCAATTTCTCTGCCTGGCGTGTGTGCAATCCTGGGCAGCACTGTTTTGTGCACACAGAATTACTGGGTCATGGCACACTGACAGTCTTACACCGGAAAACGCCAAAATGCTGTTCAAATGGTCTGATCTATACGGATTTATAGATTCTGGTTAATTTAAAAAAAAAAAAAAATCAAGTGGGCTGCAAATTCAATCAGCTGAATAGATTATGGGCCAGCTGTCACACTTTGCAGCCTGGCATAGGCTAAATGTAGGCATTTGGATGGGGTGGCATCTGACCATGCAGCATCCCAGGTTCTGTAGCTCACCTGGGATGTAACACCAGAACCAGTGCTAGTTCTGTAGCCAATCACTGTAGGACCTGCTTGGCCAATGGGCCCCATGTGGCAATGGGCAGACCCCCTTTTATTTAATTGTATTCACCTCAAGCCCACCACTCACCTTCATGGCCTTGAAGAGTCTCTCAGCAAAGTACTCCGGGGTGCTTCGGATGCATTTCACTGAAAAGAGGGAGGGAGGAGTTATTCCAGCTGCCTCAGAAGGGAATAAGGTAAGTTTCTAAAATTATTATGCAGGAGAGGGAGACCCTGGATGAGATGGATTAATACAGTAACTGGGGTGATGGGGGTTGGTGTGTCAGAATTAGTGAGACTGGCTCAGGACAGGGAAGGGTTCAGAGCTACTGTACATAAGGTCACTGTACATCGCAAGCAAGTCAATGGTATATAGCAGGCGTGGCATCCACTTCCTAAATAACATGCCACCAGAAACTACGAACTTTGATAAATGTTGATAATTATAAAAAGGGTTCAAAGAAAGAATTTTTCTTTTACTTTTCAAAGAGAAATGAGAACGGGGCGGGAGAAGGTTGGGTAGGGAGAAAAGTGCAACAATGAATGAATGGAAATTCAAAATCTCTGTTCATTAAAATTAATAAAACAGTTTTTTTTAAAAAAAAAAGAAAGGGTTCAGGTCTTTTGTTTATAGGGTTGCTATGAGTTGTGCTTGACTCGAGGGCAGTCAAAAACAACAATATGCCGTGGAGACCACCTAGCTCCAATATAGAAAGAACCCTGATTCCTTGTAACCTGCAGCATCAGAACGACACTACTTTTTGCACAAGGGGTGAAAAACTAGGAAGCAGACCTATTGAAACCCAGGCTGTGACTCTCAAAGGCTCACTTCATCATTTTAGCGCCTTTGGGTTTCACAGGGAACAGAGTCAGAGTGGGGAGGGTGGGGGTGGGGAAGATGTTTCTTGAGATTCTGCTACACCACAAAGATGACTGTGGTGGAATCTCTTTGGAGCCTGCTGGCAGAGCGCTCAGGACCCAACTCTAAAACGCAGTTGTGGGCGACAGCTGAGAGTGTGAAGCTGAGGCCTAGACTGAGGACCTGCTCTACCCGAAGCTTAAGGCGCCCAGACACGGCACACAACCTATTCCAGGCTGCGGCAGCCTGGCTCCTGTAACAGTCAGGCTTGCAGGGCCCTCTGGGCCAGGAAGTCCCTCCTGCTCCTCCTTCAGCTCAGCTAACAAAGAGATGGAGGCCCTATAAAGATAACTGGCTTGCTTCAAGCTAACAGCAGATCTAGGAGAGTTATTAACAGAGGGCGGTGACACACCAAAGCTGAGCATGCAGATTCTGGAATCGGAGGCCCTGGGTTCGAATCTTGTTTTCACCACTGACTCATCCCTCACATTCTAATATTTCCAGCTCATTACAAATCAGATCCCTGGGGCAATGTCAAAGTGTCCCTGGAATTCAGTGTCCTCTTCTGTGAAATAGATAAAAAGAATGTTCCCTCCTGGCTCGTTAAAAGATTAAACAAGGTAACTTGGGAAGGTGCTCAGCCCAGTGCCTGGCACTCAGGAGATGCCAGCAAAGTCCACTCATGCTCATTATTATCTGAAGTTCAGTGCTCCAGCCCCCGCCTCCACCACAAGGACATCTATATCTGATTCTACTCCCTTCTCCAGCTTCAGACATTGCACCCACGCTGCCCAGTGAACACCTTCAGAGTTTCCTGCCTATCTGGTTTCTCCTTCCTTCTCCACATCATATAACCCTCCCCTTTCGTTTCTTGGCCCCTGGGCACTATGCCAGTCTCCCAGCACCCCTCATCCTATCCCAGAGCCCCTGGGAATATAGCCCCAGGACATACCTACAGCCAGCATTAGCTTCTCAAAATCCCCGGACAGCTCCCCACGGATGCTGGCTTCAATTGGCTTTCCTGTGGTCTTCAGGTACTCATCAAACACTGCAGCGAGACAGGAATAGAAGGATGTGCCCCCACAGGGACCAGAAGCTGGGCTCCCAGAGGCAAGAGAGCAGTGGCCAGACCTGACTGCCTAACACTGAGCTAATGCTGGTATGTGTGGAGAGTGGCCCACGCACGTCATCAGCCACCACATGGTACCCGAGCAAGCGGTTGGGGGCTGTGTACTCCATTCTCCAACATAAAGACAAGACTGGAATGCACATGGGAGGGCTGAGCGTACTGTCAATAAAGGGAACCTGGACTTGGAGAAGGACTATCTGCGCCACTGCCTAATAAAATCAGAACTATGTGGTGTGACTCCAACTACGACATTCTAAAACATAAAACTATAGACAGTGAAAAGATTAGGAGTTCACGGGGATGGAGAACAGGGCATTTTTCAGGCAGTAACACACTGTCCTGTACAATAACATATTTGTAAACCCATACTATGCAATTGTCAAAACCTTCAGAACTACACAACACAAAAGAGTAAACTGGACTTTAGTTAATGTATCAATATTGGTTTACTCAAATGTAACAGATGTACACACACAAGATATTACCAACAGAAAAAATGGATAGAAGGCTACACAGGCACACTCATACCTACTTGATTTATCTACACACTAACAACTGCTCTAAACAAGTTATTTGTTTAATAAAAGAAAAGAAAAATCCAGGACTCATATTTGGGTTGAGGATGAAGTGGTTTTCTTGTTCCCCTCAAGGAAAATAAAACAATAAAGGGAAAAAAAATAATTCCTGGCACAACCCAAGCAGGCAGCTGTGAGTCTTCTAGGTTGCTTACCCAAGCGAAGATGCTGCTTGCTCCGATTTCCCAAGATGTAAATGAACTGGGCCTCATCTGTTCCCCATTTCAGTTCCCCTGCTTCGTACAGGTCCTGAAGAGGAAGAGACACGACTTAACCAAAAGAGGATATTTGTGAAGAGATAGAATATTTTGGCCAAACCACTCAGAACTGCTCTCTGATCCCTGAACATATATACTGGCACCTGCTGGTCTCAAGACTTCTGTATACACTAGTGTACCTTTCTGCATTTCAGGGGAAACTCCTATTCAACCGTCTAAGCCCATATTAGATGTTCTATTTCTTGAAGCACTTACTGAGTTTCCCCCTCTTCTTTTGCATCTCCATAGTTTTGCCTCACAACCCACTGTACTAATCTCTTGGTAGATGTCCCCACCACTGTGTGGCTTCTCAAGGGCAGAGTTGATACCTTGTTGTTGTTAAGTGCTGTCAAATCAGCTCTGACTCACAGCGACCCTAAGTACAATAGAACAGAACACTGCCCAGTTCTGCACCACTTCACAATTGCTGCTGTTTTTGTGTCCAGTGTCGCCGCCACGGACATGTGTCAGCATGCTCTGGATCTGCCCGGTATATAGAGTGAAGGCTCAAAGCACTTTGATGGTTGTTTACCAGTAGAGAAGGCCTTTCAGTGGCTAATCTAGGTGGCTCTCCTAGTACTGGTCAGTATTGCTCATCAGCGCACAGCACAAGGGAACGTGTGCTGACAAAGAGCCATGGTGGCGTAGTGCATTACATGTTAGGCTGCTAACCGAAAGGTCAGCAGTTTGAATCCACCAGCCACTCCGATGGAGAAAGATGGGCAGCCTCCTCCTGTAAGGATTTACAGCCTCAGAAACCCGATGGAGTGTTGCTACGAGTTGGAACTGACTTGACGGCAGCAGGTATGTGCTGAGCAGAACGCTTGGCACATAGCAGTTGTTCAGTAAGTACTTGCTAATTGAATGAATAAATGAAAAAAATTATTATCACACTGGATAAACAACTTATAAACCACATACTTTTGTAGGATAACTTAAATCTTTTGTCCAATAAAGCACCATGAATTAGCTCTTTGTCAAATATGATGGGGACCCCTTCACCTCCAGCCCCTCCCAGGGCCCCCACCCTTTCTCCTCTCTCCTCACTTCGTTGCTGTGCTGCGTGACCCCTGGTGGTGCAGCTTACCTGGACATCCTGCTGCACCAAGTCCTCACTCACGACATCATCATTCTCCCTGGTGCCCTGGGCAGAGAGACATGGGATATATGTTTTAAATATCAGTGCCAGAGCAAGGTCTCAATGCCAGTGATGGCGCAGGGAGGGCCGGGGAAACCCCAGATGCACATGAAAATAATGACAAGCAGC